ATAAAAGTTCTCAATTATAAAATTCTTATTATCAATTAAATTTTCAATAAATAATAACATATTTCAAGAAAATAAGTAAAAAAATCTTGTTAAATAGTTAAACTGAAACTTTTTGTTTTATACAGCACATAACCTGTTACAAACTATCACGGTTCCAAAATAACTGGGCACTTTTATTTCCAAAAAGTTCAAGTTCTCACCTATACTTAAAACTATCTAGGATTTTTTATAAAAGTTCTCAATTATAAAATTCTTATTATTAATTAAATTTTCAAATAATAATAACATATTTTAAGAAAATAAGTAAAAAAATCTTGTTAAACAGTTAAACTGAAACTTTTTGTAAGTTTCATATCCTTGAAAACTCGTTACGTTGTGTTTTAAGTAGTGGAACAGAAATTTCACGTTCTTCTTACAGTTTTTTTTTTTTTTTTTTATCTTTTTAGCTGTTACATGTTAAATTCATTTGAATTTAAAGTGAGAAAATTTGTTTAATAATGTGAAAATATTCGTTGTTTTTATCATTGTTCATAAGTAGTTTAATTAATTTCATGCGTCATATTAACTTTGTGTGACTCGTACTGATTAACTTTATCTCATGAAAGTGTTTTTAAATTTACTATTAAATTTATAGTTTAAAATTATTACACAATTGTTTATTATTTCGAAATAGTTATTTAGGACATTTTCATAAAAAGCCTTCTATTCGTTGTACTTTTTCAAAAGCCATAGCTCTCAATTGAACTAGTATATTAAAAATCACGGTTCATCTTTGATGCCAGTTTAAAATGGCTATAATGATAGAAAGTAATCATATGTGTGGCCTACGTGTAATTGACACAATGAAAGAATCTCATGAATGTCACGATCCTTAATCAGATACAGATTTAAAAAACACAAATTTCTCTAAACAAGTATGCGTGGCATTTAAAAAAATAAGTCATATATTTTGTTAGGTTCTCTATTTAATGTATACGAACAGGTTGTGGACAATAGACTTAGTTTTTTAATGATAAAAATAACAAGATATATTCACCAGTTCATTGGTAACATCATGAATGTCACAACTATTGTTCCCAGCATTCCTACAATTTGAAAAGGCTGAAAGAATTTCTTTTTTAACCCCAAGGGTCCAGTGTTTACGATCAGTTATTGCTCGACTTCTAAAATGGTTTAATAAAGCTATTTTTAAAATATCAAAAACATTATAAGTATTTTATTCATCAGTAAGTATCTTATCACTTGCACATGTAATCTTTATTATTATTTTATTCTTATCATCTTTCTCTTTTTGGAAAGATTTTTGTTTTACAGTTGCGTTTTAAGCTCTAAAATGTTCCGTTTTTGTGATAATACAAGGGCCCAACCTTATACTAGCGAAATCACACAAAACTCAATATTTCTTCTCCATATTATTTCTCAATATGTTTTATTTGAGAATCGTATCTTCTTTTTTTATTTTTAATCAAATCCAATCCATTTTGAACATTGTCTTCTCTTTCAGGTGAAAAAATAGTCACAGTCCTCCAAATTTCAGGGGCAAGAGTTTAGAAGAAAAAGAAACTTTATTCGAGTATAACACAAAAAGTATACAATTTTTTATGGTTGATTTTTTCAAAGATACCCAAATTCCATACAATACTAAAAACAATTATCAAAATCGGGCCATTCTTAGACTAAAGATACTACAGTATATTAATTTGAACTTATTTGGTTAATTATGAATGAACTATAGTTATTCGAACAAGAAAACAAAAATTCATTTCTCCATTTCATAATATATTGCATTAACGTATTTATTTTACCTATGACTCCACCTGAACAAACGTCTGACTTGGAATCCTCATACCAGACTGAAACGACAAGAAACAGCTCGACGTTTCCGACTACTTCAGAACTTACTAGACAAATGCTCTAACCTTTCAATTAATTTCAAAAGACTCATATACATGACTATACTAAGACCTATTTGGATTTACGGAATTGAGCTTTGAGGCTTCACTAAACCGTCGAATTCCTCTCGTAGCCAATCTTTACAATTCAAAATCCTCAATGCTCCTTACTTTGCAACAAATAAAATAATCCATAATGACCTGAATGTTCGATATGTTTCCGATTTGGCCCAATCCAGATACCTATCCTTCCATAATAAACTTCAGAACCATCATAATCCTCTCGTTTTTAACCTTGCTTCCTCCTCGATCCCTGATAACCCTCCTAGGCGTCTGAAAAGAAGATGGCCCCGTGATCTCCTAACTTTATTATAGTGCTACCAATGGGTAGATTCTCTACAAGCCTTGGCATGTCATGTATTTATCTATGTTAAATTCGCTGAATGTATTTTAAATGTAAAGTTGTAAATTTCATAAATAATAATTTAAAAAGTATTTTTTTTATATGTTCACCGACCATGCGAATTATTCGTACAGTTCAACTATTCAACTTGAATTTTGCCTCGAATACCAAGTCTATTTAATATTTTCAATTTAAATATTTTCAATGACTATTGGATGAAACGCTGGCGGTATTCTCGCTATCGCTGGTGATACCGTCCTCTGTTCCCAAGAGATAATCTATTTTTAGTTTTCCATCTGTTGACATAGCCGAAGGCGTAGGTAGCATCCTTTCAGCCTTTACTTCTCCTCTCTTCTCTTCTTTTATGTGAGTATTCTCTACAGCTCTTCAAACGTCTTCTGTTACTATTTGAGATCGATGTTTTTTTATCGATACTTCATTATTTAAAATATATCTGGCGTTGGCAAATAAGTCCTTTCGAGTTTTCAATCGATAAAGAATATCGAAGAGAAGAATAGTTGGGGTGATAAGTCAGAAATAAGAAGGGAAAATAAATGATTATATTTATTTCGACATTTGCCGACGTATCGACCTGAAGTTCAGGCCTTCATCAGGCCTAAGAAAAGAACCAGATAACAAGATATGACAAACATGAATAATGTAGGTAAAAAAAATTAAAGTAAAATGAAGTTGGTAGAATAATGACAATAGTAAGTACTAAGCGATAAATAATAATATCCCTTAGTTCTTACTGTTGTCATTATTCTACCAACTTCATTTTACTTTAATTTTTTTTACCTACATTACTCATGTTTCTCATACCTTGTTATCTGGTTCCTTTCTTAGCCCTGATGAAGGCCTGAACTTCAGGTCGAAACGTCGGCAAATGTCGAAATAAATATTATCATTTATTTTGCCTTCTTATTTCTGACTGATCACCCCAACTATTCTTTTCTTCATTATTCACGACAGTCAACCATTTACCCATAATAATAAATAACATCGGTTTATCATAGAAATAAAATCACTGTATGAACTATTAAAAAATGAGTAGGAATATTGTTAGTTGTGTATTATTTATTTTCTCTAGAATTTTATTATAAAATACATTAAAAATTAATCCAAATAAGATTTTTCTTACCTCGGGAAATTTTATAAAATGTGTTTTAAAAAAAAAAATTAAATTAAAAGTTTTTGTGCACTACCTCACCGCACCTATTATACATACTCTTTATAATGTTGTCAATGATTTTACAAGGAATTTCAAACACATAATACCTATCACTAGCGGATGCAGTATTTAATTTGTGGGTTCTTCAACCCAAAAGATTTTTTTTTCATATACATTTAACGATAATTAACTAGAAAAAAAAAGGAAGAAATTAGCCACCTATAACAAATAGTGTTTAAGTGGTTCTTGAAGTCTTATTTATACAAGAATACTTCAAGAGATAGTATTTAATATATTTTTCTGGAAAACATGGTTATATTTTACCATTTGAGGGGGGGGGGGGCTTCAGCCCGAAAGCCCTCCCCGTAGATCCGCCTGTGATACCTATAAACATGGTAATACTGCTCTCAGTTGATGAAGGTTAAGAAACTGCAGATGGTGTTCAAAAATTCTTCTATACAGTTCATCTCACATGTGCTCAATAGGATTGAGATCTGGAGAATGAGGGGAAATGTCCAGATTTTCAAGACATTGATGAACAACTTTTCTCGTATGAGGTCGCCTATTTACGTCAAGAAAATGGAAATTAGTGTCAATCATAGCTCTAGTTTGAAGAATGTTCTCCTCTATAACTTCTTGAACACGACGAACTGCAATGAAATTACCTTTCACAATATGGAGGAGAGTCCGTCCTCCAGAGTAGATGCAGGACCATACCATCACACACCCATGCAGATTAAATATAATTCCTTGCTGAACGATTCTTCATAAAAGAAAATTCATTTTTGCAATTTTTTGATTTCCATTTTTGAGAAACAATTGTAATTGCTTCATAGCCTTCCAAGCATTTAGTTATTAATTTAAATTTATTTTTATTTAAAAAAAAAACAGTGTTAGTAACAGAGTTTCGTCAATGAAGTCGTATCCTCATTTTTGTTTGAAAATAATAAAAATAGATTTAATTGTTTCATGAGGGCTTAACTGAGGAGATGGATTAAAATTTTAAAACGTTTTAACATTATAACAGAATGATTTATTATTTTAAAATAGTAAAGTATCAAATTCACTGACCTTTTTTGAGTGCCACTAGTTAAATTATTTTTTTTTAGTTATATTATATATAGTACAAGTATGTTATATCCCCTCCATGGGATTTGACGTCATAAATGAGGCTCGGATTTCTGCTGTTCACGTCGATTCCAATGCCTACATAATAGCTATGGAGACAATTAGTTTAATTTTCATACGATTTTCAGGAATATTTTCTGTAACAAATTGTTTGATTTCAATAATTTATTTTGTAAAAATTCCATTATCCTTAAAAATAACACATATATGATTAATAAAAAGTATTATAATAAATAATATAAAACTTTATATTACATTGGTCCTAACACTTGAAAATTATTTTTTGAATTATTAATTTACTTTGGATAACAAAATGCTATATTTATTCCTCTTTATTTTATTACTTGATATTTAAAGCAAATTCTGAGTTAAAGTATTAATGGTATGCTTGTTGATCTGATTGCAGGATATACAATACGTTACCGTGAGATCTCAAAGGATATTTCTGATGCAATTCAAGTGACTCACCAATAAAATTACAAAGAGGTAAGCTTTTAACTTATGATTTTATATCAGTTGAATATAATACAAGTATGTAATATACCTCTATGGGTTTTGCCATCGTTGATGAAGCTCCGATTTCTAATGTTCGCATCGATTCCAATGCCTCTATAATAAATGGCGAAACTCTTGGTCATCTTTAGTAGTATTGTGGATTATTCCATTGTACTGTCGATACGAACTATCAATTATCAATTAATTTTAGATTTTGTTTACTAATACTATTAGTCTAATAGGAATATTTATTAATAACGCATCTTCATACTTCTACCTGTTTATTTATCTGTAAGATGCATTCATAATATAACAATGTAAAAGTAAAAATGTTTGATAATGGACGATAATTGCATAGAAAGATTAATTAAGCTGTATTGTTAAAAATAGTTTTGTTCACTAAGTGATCAAAATTCGACTATAATCATTACTAATCATTTGATGAAAAAAAGATATGAATTTGCATCTTTCCAACCTATTTTTGTCTACTTTTATATATTTGTACATTTCTTTTATTTGTACTTACAAAAGAAAACAGTAAAGTACAATTTGTGTATGTTATAATTAATTTTTAAATAAAAATGTTCCGTTACTTTTACAAAAAAATATATTTGAATCCATTTATCTCAATCGGTGAAAATTTTAGGCAAAAAAAATTGAAATTTTTTATTACTACGACAATTCGTATTTCAGTGTTGTTCCAGGTGCGAAATACCCATCTCAATTTCTCATTAAAAAAATATTTGAACCTACTTTGCTCCTTCGGTTGGTATAAATTGTTCCATTTCAACAATATACTCACACTGTAGCCAAACATAAAATTCTCATAAAAATAAATTTAAAAAATATAAACCGAAAAAAAACAAAACAATAAAAGTATCTTCTTGGACATGGTTGTTTTCGATTTCGATGATTTTTTTTTTTTTTCAATTTGTAGGATATTCAAGAAGCTTTCAAATACTCATAGGTTTAACGAACCAACAATTTTGTACTTTTGAGTTATTCGCAAATAAAATTCTGAAAACATCTTTACATTTCTTCAACCTCTTTTCCGGGAACATAAAATATAAATAAATTTGCATGTTTCTGTCATTTGTTAGTCTATTCTTATATATTAATACATTTTATTTTATATGCCTTTACATAAGAAAACAGTGCAGTACTTTTAGTGTCTTTACTTTACGTTTTTTCAATCTATTTTCGGGAAATATATACAAAAATTGTGCACTTATTTGTGAATAAAATTCAGAATAAATCTTTACTTCTCTTTTTTTTTGTTATCCTCTTTTCGGAGAAGTATGTTGTATACATAAATTAAAAAGGCTTCAAGGAGATTTTAGACAAGTTAAAATCGTTGCAGCCGTTTTGGCGATATGGTTTATAGCGATTCATGTTCTTTGGCCGCCATTTCGAAGCAAAAGCCCGGTTAGCAATGAAATGTATGTAAAATGCTTCTAAATTTGACCGCAACGTTGTATCAAAATTTCAAAGCAATTGGTGAAGAACTTTCGAATATTAGCGGTTTCGAACAAACTTACATTTTTATTTATGTACACTGTTTCCAAATTTGGTTTATAATTTTCATTAATCAACCATTGTGATCGACCACAAAATTCAAAAACTTAACGCCCCTCCCTCAAAATTTGATGTTTCACGTTTCAGGATGCGTAGAATTCTAAAAACGAATAAAAAATGTTTTGTCCGTCCGCGCATTTTCTCCGAAACTACTGTATCGATTTTTTTCAAATTTGGATATAAAATCAGTGGTCACTCGAGGATGATCCACCTTCATCGACATTACTATCCGCCTTTTACTTTCTGAATGGCGGCCGAAAAACTTGCGTTGCTGTGGACTGTAGCTCCAAAACGAATGTACCGATTTCAATGAAACTTCGCCAAAGTCCTTTTCCCGATGTCCTTTAAATTTATCTATATAACATACTTCAACGAAAAGAAGCTGGAAAAAAGTTACGAGGGATGGTAAAATTAAATTCCGAATAACTCAAAAAGTTTACACTTTTTTGTTGATACTGTATGGTTTTTAAAAGTTTACGGAATTTCCTAAAAATCAAAAAAAAAAAAATCGTTAAAATCGGACAATTAGGAGCAAAGATATGGTCTTCAGGTTCTAGAATGTTCTACTTCTAATGTTATATCCTTTGTTTGGTTTTTAAATTTTGAATGTGTTACTGAAGTAATGCTATTTTTTTTTTTAGTATATTACTAATGATTAAAAAAAAAAGTTCAGTCCAACAATTGAAATTTTGTCGATATTGTGATAAGATGTTTCAAAGGTATTTAAATTTCCTAAATAATGAAGTTTCATCGAAATCGAAGCATTATTAATAGAGATATCGCGATTTTTAAATATTTTTGGTTTATTATTTTAAATAACCCCTCCCCCTCAAAATTTGAGATTTTTTTTTTATTGATAACACCATAAAGCTAGTTAGTAACTAGTAAACAGAAAACGAAAGTCGATTGAGAAAAGCAAGAGGAAAAGGCACTTAACTGTTAATAGGCCTTTGTTTATTTATATAATGATTCTATATTGTTATATTAATAATTATTTGGTTTGACATTTCTCATTCCGAAGTACCTGTGTTTTTGATAAAAGTAAAGGTGATTCTCTATACTTATTCCGTTACAAATCCCAACTTAACTAATTTGGACTCCGTGTGACCTTGAAATCGGCCGCCATCTTGGTGTAGCGAAAGGAAACTAGTGTACAGGTAGTGTTATGTTAGATTTAGTTATGTGGCAGCGGAAAGAACTGCAAGAGCTCCGAAGAGTTGGTCAAGTCAGCAGTGCCGAAGACAGGATGCTCGGAGTCATGTTTAGGTAGAGCAGGAAGTGGTGGCCTTCAGAGTCTGCTGTAGTCAGCACGTGGCTCTTCGCCATCACAATATGGCTTCTTCAGATAGCACGCTGCCTTACATATCTTAGAAATTTATTAATTAAACATGTTTAAATGTTTATACAACGAGGTATTATTCTCCATCAGCTGTGCAAATTTGATTTTTTTTTATAGAATAAAAGTTTGTTGTTAGAATATCATTTTTTTGAACTGTGTTTTGGATTCAGTAGCGTATTATAGGTGGAACTCGCCCCAAGACCTGAATATTTAGTTGGTGATTTAGTTATCCTGTTCTCTGAAGCGATTAAAGGTTATAACCATATGTTATGTCCCAGATGTAAATATTAATTAAAATATTTTTAACACTTTTCACTTTGGCTAATGTACGATAAAATACATTCTGAAACAATTGCAGACATAGAGCCAGACTTTCCATTATGTTGTGGGGGAACCCCATAAAAACTCTTGAGATTTTATATCTAGTATAAAAATCATGAGTGATAATTAAAATAATCAACATAATTATTGTAAAACGAACAATATAAGAATATATATAAATAAACTCATATATATGTTTATAGATTAATTTTTTTTTTGTGAGTATAGGTCTATTTCAAAATATGTTAACAAAGCAATTGAATTTTTACCAATTTCGTTATTGTGTCCAAAGAACATTAATTAATTTAAAATCAAACATAGTCTTTTTCCGAAGAGGAGTTTCTACTGATGCATTGTCACCAATTAAAATAACAGTCGAAAAACTATGTAGAAAAGATTCTAATCTTCTTGTTGCAGACTCGACGTTTAAATTTATGATTGACACGCTTGTTGCACAATTTATTTTTTTATTTATTTATTTATATGATATTTACAACTGTATACAAAAAATACATCTAGTAAATTCGCACATGGATATAATGACATGAAACACACGTTGAGAAACTACCCATTGGTAGCACTCTAATAATATGTCTATATTAGGAGATCACGTGGCCATGTTCTTTTTAGACGCCTCGGAGTGTTATCAGGAATTGAAGAGGAAGCAAGGTTAGAAACAAGAGGGTTGAGATGGTTATGAAGTTTATTATGGAAGGATAGATATCTGGATTGGGCCAAATCTGATACATAAGGAACATTAAGGTCATTATGGATGATTTTATTTGTAACAAAGTAAGGAGCATTGAGGATTTTACGAAGGATTTTGGATTGTAAGGATTGGATGCGAGAGGAATTTGAAGGTTTGGTGGAGCCCCATAGCTCAACTCCGTAAGTCCAAATAGGTCTTATTATAGTCATGTAAATGAGTCTTTTGTAATTAATTGTAAGGTTAGAGCGTTTGTCTAGTAAGTGTTGAAGTAGTCGGAAACGTCGAGCTGTTTCTTGTCGTTTCAGTCTTGTATGAGGATTCCAAGTTAGACGTTTGTACAGGTGGAGTTCTAGGTATTTGTTGCATAAAAAAGTAAAATAAGTAATGAATTGATCAATTCTCTGAAGTATAGAATAATGCAAAGACGAACAAACATATCTTAAATTTATCAATATTTACATAACGCTTCACAAAACGAAATCGAAACAGATACAGACAAAAATATCGATTCCTCTTAAAAAACGCCTAGGAGTTAAAAGTAATGAACCAGACAGTGAAGATTTTGATCTTGAAGATGAAGATACACCAGTTACATCTCTCTCCGCTATTAATACTGCAACTGTTTCATTAAAAAACAAATTAGAGAATGTGATTAACAAAGCAATGGCGAATGTTCCAAACCCAAAGAAATAAAAAAAATTATTAGAAATAGACCATAAACTTAAAAAAGAATTACAATTTTTTGAAGAGCATGGAATTATGGGGGTGCATCTAAAGCTTGCTTATGAATACTGTACAACTATGAATACTACACAATAAGTTAACAATACAACAATAACAATATGTGTTCAACATATAACCATAAAATTAAGATTGAGGCTAGACGACGGTACGTTGGATCATATGTGTTTTTTTAAAATTTGCATCAAAAATAATAATCACTTGTACGAATTAATGTAATATATATTTAAAAAAGTTGGATTTAATTTTGTTAAATTATTCCTAAAAATAAATGATTTGTTGTGTTTGACATATATTTGTACTACC